ACCTCAATACTTGACATATAATATATTCTATATATTTTCTAAATGGAAAAATTAAAGAAGATATTTAAATAACATCGCTTTTCACAAACAATAGTGACAGGGATACATTTACTCCATTTAAGTTAATTTCATTTCCTAATGAATTACTAATCCAAAAATCTAATTGTTTAAAGCTTCTATTTGATACATCCAAGTAATCAAGAGGGTTCAACTCATTATCAAAGACAATTCCCGCGTGTGGTGCTGTGACTGGTACTTTCTTAACAACTGTACTATCACCCGTTCTTAAATTTATTTGGTTATAATTAGACAATTGAGAAGAATGAATATAAATATTTCTAATAGGTTGAAGATTGATAAACCCAGAAACATAAGGATTATTGTATTGATAAACTGCAACTTGATAATTTCCTAAAACTTCATTAACAGAATTTAAATTATTAGCATCAAAACTTCCATTCCATATATAACCAGCATATATTATTTTCATTTGTTCATCAGTTAATACTGCAAATTGTCTATCGGCATAGTTTGAAGAAATCGTTATTTTATTTGTTTTTACACTGTCAGAAATTTCATAAGTATTTGAGAAATTAGTATTATCTACAACACCATTTATTTTTGTCTTTAATTCTGTCGCTAGTTCTGTGCCAGTATATACTCCTTCGTCCAATTGTAATGCTAAATGATGGACATTTGTGTTATCTTCATCTGGAACTAGTGGAGAAGAATAAAAGTATAGTAAATTATTTAATCCTGACTGTATTGAATACCACGAGTTAGGTAATGTTACTTCGTGAATGTAGCAATGAACTCCGTTGTCTGTTTGTAATGTTTCTGGCAATTCAACTTTGAAATTTGATGATGTACCACTAATTCTACGAGCGCTGTCAATATAAACTTTTTTGTAAGTCAACATAATATATTTTTAATTAGAAAATGAATTTTCTAATTAAACAGTATTCTGTTGCTTAGGACTTCGTTGTACGTCAACTTTTGTATATGAAAGTTGCTTAGAGCAAAGCTGTAAGTCAGCATTATTAATTAATTTCTAAAACATAATTAAGAATTATGTTTTACAAATTGATGAAATTGTAATTTCATTAGTATTCTTAAAAATATATTTTTTACAAATTGATGAAATTGCAATTCCATGAATTTCTACATCATAATTAAGAATTTTGATTTACAAATTGAATAATTTCGTATACTCCTTTTGATTAGAATTATTATTTTAGAAATGTTGTTATTATTCATTAGAATTAATTAAGCTAGGAATGCAATATATCAAAAATAGAAATGTAAATATTAATATAAATGCCAAAAAAGAAAAACAAAAAGAATAAGACAGGTTTAAGTGTTTCTTCAACTGATGAAGAAATTGTTAAAGAAACATCAGTTATTGAGGTTGTTTGTCCTACATGCAAAAGAATGTTAGAACTTAAGAATGAATTACAATACAAAAGAAAGGAAATTGTAAATGTTCGTGTATTCCAACAAGTTTCAAAATTAGTAAAAATGATAAGAAAATGAATATTGATAAAACTAAAGACAGTATCAACTTAGAAACAGATGTTCATAATATAACTTTTAAATGGGGTAAGGATGCAACACTCTCGGAAAATGGTGATAACGAAACGCAGGAAACTATTAAACAAATGATGAAAAAATAGTGTTTAAAGAGTAGAACTAACATAATTTAAACATTTAGTTTTAAAAGTATAGTTGAATAATATAGTATATGGTTGAATTTTCAAGTTTAACACATTTACATTTTGGTGCACTTGAATTAGATAAACAAGTTGGAGACAATAATTATAATGGTGTTAGTTATTATACTTGTAAGTGTGGTTGTAAAATAGTCTTAACTCGTACTCAAACTAAACACTATAACTTTTTATTAATTTTTTTTGTCTTAGCTATGAATATTTATATCTAGACGAAGCGTTAGTGTGTGGACATACTCAAAAAGATTTAGATAACATTGTTAGACTTATGGTAGAAGGCGAAGAATTTAAACATTTAAGTAACAAAGACCTTCGAAATTAAAATATTTAGTTTTAAAACTTTAGTTTTATAATATAGTATGTATTGAAGGTGTGGATAAACTCATTTTGAAAATTGATGAAATCATGGAACAAAATACACGCATTTATCAACTGTTAGAAAGTATGAAGAAACCAGCTTACAATAATACTAATAATTACCAACCAAAAGAAGATGATAGAGAGAGAGCACTGAATACAAGAATAAACGAAATGTATATATTAAAAAACTTAATGAAAAAGTTATTAAAGAACCTAAACAATCAAGTCTGGATTTCTACCAAGTCAAGTATATTGAAGATACCAAGAAATATGTTTAATCATTAACTAACAAAATTTCGTGTCTCAGAAGTGGTTTGTTTATTCCTGCTACTCTGTAAGTTTTATTGCCCATAATATCATTTTATCAACATTGAATATTTTATTAGACCATTTAGAGTTATACTCTTTTCTGTCGGTGTAATTACCCCTTTTCTTTTGAAACACTCTTACCTTATCGTTCTCCTGTATTTTGGGATATTTTCTTTTGTTCTTTTCTCGTAGTTTCAGATTGACTTTTACATTTATTTCATTGTCGTCCTTGTGTGCTTCGGTTGGTGTCATCCTTGTTGACGAGTGTAATGTGCTGTTATACTGTTTCAATGCTGGTGTTAAGGCATCGGTCCATTTCATATTATTAAACCTAGCTCTATCATGAATTTGCTTTTCATTGTCCTAATGAAACGTTCGGCTACATTTGCGTGTGTCTTCGTTATTATGTGTTTGATGCCCTCGCTGTTGAAGAAATCCTGCACTTGGTTTCTGGTTGCAAACGCTCCATCATCATCAGAATACACAGACATCGGATAACCCATCTTTTTAGAACTTGCTCTAAGCGCCTTCAAAACGTGCTCTCCGTCTCTTTCATCCATCGGTATTACATCTGCTAATTTACTGAAGATGTCAATCACAACTAAAGCATACTGTGGAACGTTCTTGTCTTTAGCTAAAGGTGACATATGCATTATGTCGATTTGATATTCATACCTAGCAAGTGGAGCGGTATAGGAATTAGTGCCTCTATAATTTTTGATTTGTTTATTTGGTTGTTTCTTCAAGAAGGTTTTTACATCTTCTAATGTTATCGTTGGGTCTTGTTCCTTTGCCTTCTTGTGTGTTGCTTGTGTGCTTCCGAAACCCTCGTCTAAGTCATAATAGATGTTGCTGATTATTTGGTCTTTCGTTAATCTTGCCATTATATTATTTGTTAGAAAACATTTTTTTATCAACATAAACTCCCCACCCCTTAACATAAAATAACTTAAAGAAATATTAACTTATAATATTAAGAAGTGAAATGCCAATGATAGGAGTGACAGAAAAAGAGCTGGAACAAAATAAAAAAATAATAATGAGTTTCATTAAGGATAACCCCTATCCATCGTATAAACAAGTCATTGAAATAATTAAAAACGATAAAACAATGGAAGATATATATCTAGATATGTTCGCCGAGTATGGAGAACAAAATCATCAATGGATAAAAGAGATTTACGAAAACATAATGAAAGAAGAACTCGTTAAACATAATGGTAATAGTATTAATGAAAGAGGAGGAATGACAACAATGCATTGTAATTATTATACTTTGATATCAGTGTTGCGTTATTTAATGCAACAAAGAGCACCAATGAAAGATTATGACGTTAACTTAATCTGGTATAATATCAGAAACATCTTAAGCAGTTCTTGGAACAACATAGGAGACTCGAAACACTGAAAATAGGTTTGTTCATATTATTCTATAAGTATAATATGATTACAACAAAGTTTTATAATCTAACACTACATTTAAATGAAACCTGAAACCCCCAGCTAAAAACTACTTAAAGAAAAAATAATATAATATAATAAGAGACAATGAGTGAGAATTGGACTAAATTACCTGTTGATATATTAAAAAATATAATTTCATATAAATTAGGGGAACCTGAGTATTTGAATATAAAACATAATCATATTAAGACATTAAAGAGAATACAACAGCGATATAAACTTAACAGAACTGAAACAAAAAGAAAGACAAAGCGCTGCACTGTTGTAGGTGGTGATGAATTCAAGAGACACATAATTAAGTATTACATTTCAAGAAATATAGCTTTAAGCAGTAAAAGCATTGAAGATATAGTTTTTAATGAAAATGAAAACTTAGATTGTTTGTTAGATGACCTTGAAACTGGTGAAGGTTATGAAGTAATTTTCATAGTTTATGTATGTTTATTTGTTGGGGATCATCAAGACGATGATTCTAGAACTTTTACGTTCCTTTCTCATAGTGATGATGTTGTAGATAATGTAACCATAGATAATTTATCTGAAGTACTGATGGCGTCGTATCAAGAAATAAACAGTTGTATTGATGAAGAAAGAAGTAGAACGGAGTTTGGAGGAGTCAAAAGCATAAAGTTTAAGCTAATTGTTGATGAACCTGTATAATTCAAAACTAAACCATAATTATATCATTTATATTCTTATATGTTGTAATTATAGTGAACTTTTAACCTATAAACATTTCATTAAATGACAAACCAGAAGACCCGCCCAAAAGCCAACCCATGAAACCACAGAAAGTCCTAACCTCTTTCAATCAATAAAACTAAAAAGTTGAAATCTGGAACGAAACAGCGGACAAAATCATCAATTCGTTTCCACATCCATATCGTTATTTCATGCCCCCAAAATCAGCCTTTTAAAAACGAATAAGGTGGTACACGTGTTGAATTGTGAAATAAAAACAGAACAGGCAACCATCTACCCCCCACCCCCTAGGACCAGCCTTTTCTACATTTTTCCCCCCCCCACCCCCCCCCAGCTGCAAAACCTTTGTCCTAAGACCCAAATGATCTGAACAATCCAAAAGCCTAAACCTGACCATCGAATGCCCAAAGCCCTCAAATCCAACCGTCCTCGGCTCAGGACACGGACTTCTCTGAGGTGGGTGTGCCCGATGAGATCGCTGCGGAG